TGTCTTAAAAAAATAAAAAAATTAACAAAGAGAGATAAAGAAACAATTTTTATTTTAACATGAAATGTAATCATTTATCTTCCATAAAAAAACTGAAGTAAAGAAACTGAATGTATGATAATAAAATAAAAACTCTTTTTTTACAAAAAACAAAAAATTTTAATGCTGACTCAGCATTAGAGGAGGTGCTCTATGTGATTGCCATTTACTCTCATGCATGTTTCAGCCCTACGTCTTAGAGAATCACGCACTCTTTCAAATCACGCATTCTAACTTCATTTCTCTCTCCTGATATTTACGTTTAGTTCGCAATAGATACTACAAGTCAAACGACATTGCGTAGGCCTTAACGAATGTGAGCAGCCCTAGTATACAGTGTCGGAATATTTCATTCTATTTGTAGAATTTCTTTTGTTAATAATTTTTTAACAAACAACGAACGACGGCTGAAACTTCTTGAATGTCACTTAGAAGGATGTCCTTGATAATATATATCAAGATGGAGATCATTGGAATGTGCTCCGTTATAGTCGATAATTACCATTAATTTTACTGATGGTTGTTGCAAAATGGTAAAGGAATTTTCTATTCAGTTTGATCTAATCTACATGTACACTTATGGAATATACATGGGATACTTTGCATCAGACACCCTGCACATAAAACGCAATAATCGTAAATTTGAGTATATTAGTTTTAACCTTATAATCGTCGCGCTACTTTTCGAACACGAGTTGACGCATGGAATCTTGAGAGATCTTAATATAAAAAATTATTTTATATCTTTATGTTGAGAACTTAAATATTTTCTTTGTTTAATTAGGTTTTTGGGTTCATGTAAAATATAAGAAAAAACTATTTTGGATATAATATTTTCTTAAAAATCCCATGCAACAACAGTAGGGTTAAATAAGAAAGAGCACTAATTTTTTTCTGTGCACATACCAATATCTATCGAACGCATCAAGTCCGAGGAATATCATCGACTGTGCCTGACGTATAGTAATTGCACGATAGCGTATTCGCGACCTGTCGCCTCTCACAATAATTACTCGGTAGTCGTTAATCGTTAATCGTTCGAGCAAAGGACCAAGAATTGTCGGCTTGACGCGCCATTCGACATCTGTGTCAACAGAGTCGATACCCATCGTGGGGAATAAAACGCCCGGCGGAGGACCAATCCCTTCGATCCGACGGAGCCGGCGAGTGCCAAGAGCAAGAAAAAAGGAGTTTTAGACTTGTCGGGTACCGCGGGTACCGGTGGTGGCCCACTTTTACCCGGCAAGCCAGTCTTATGTAACGCTCGCGCGCGCTCCTCGATCCTTCTGCTCACGTAAAAGCGTGCTGAGCTCCGTTAATGGGAGCCGGTGAGGAAATGCCGGAACCCTCGGCGAGATGCGGCGAGATGTGGCGACCTGTCGAGAGGCCCCGCTCGCTTGTCCTCTTTGCCGACGTGGCGTCCAGCGGCGATGTTCCTCGGGAGCACTTACGGAGTCGGAGCGAAATTACACCCGGGTTAGGCGAATTCGTAATTCGCTACACGCGCGCACACACACGAACACACGAACGTCGGGTTTTTCGATGAGAAGATTTAACGTTGTGGATTGTTTCCCTAATAAATTTGTGTGAAGAAGGAAGATAATATCTCAGTAATACTCCAAACAAATATCTAAAATACATCTCAGAGATATTCTGAAATTGTCTGAAACAAGTAGGATATCTTTAATCAGATGACTTAATGTTGTGCATTGTTTTCCTAATAAATTTGTGTGAAAAAGAAAGATAATATCTCAGAAATATTTCAAACGAATGTCTAAAATACATCTCAGAGATATTTTAAAATTGTCTGAAACAAATAGGATATCTTTCATCAGATGACTTAATGTTGTGCATTGTTTTCCTAATAAATTTATGTGAAAAAGGAAGATAATATCTCAGAAATATTTCAAACGAATGTCTAAAATACATCTCAGAGATATTTTAAAATTGTCTGAAACAAATAGGATATCTTTCATCAGATGACTTAATGTTGTGCATTGTTTTCCTAATAAATTTGTGTGAAAAAGGAAGATAATATCTCAGAAATATTCTAAACGAATGTCTAAAATACATCTCAGAGATATTCAGAAATTGTCTGAAACAAGTAGGATATCTTTCATCAGATGACTTAATGTTGTGCATTGTTTTCCTAATAAATTTGTGTGAAAAAGGAAGATAATATCTCAGAAATATTCTAAACGAATGTCTAAAATACATCTCAGAGATATTCAGAAATTGTCTGAAACAAGTAGGATATCTTTCATCAGATGACTTAATGTTGTGCATTGTTTTCCTAATAAATTTGTGTGAAAAAGGAAGATAATATCTCAGAAATATTTCAAACGAATGTCTAAAATACATCTCAGAGGCATCTTAAAATTGTCTGAAACAAGTAGGATATCTTTCAGATGTCTTTAAAGTCCGTATTGATAGTTATCACCTGAGACTTGTCTCATATGAGATTCTCGGATTTTTATGCAGAGTTAGAGAGAGAGAGATCCAAGATCTTCAATTGAATTATATGATACATGTGATATTTATATCTATAATCGTGATTTAGTTGAAAGATTCTCACCTAATTCTAAATTTAAATCTGAATATCTCTCTTGAGTGTCTCACAAGTTTCAAATAACGATTATGGACCTTAGATATTTACTGCAATGAACATTTACATTTACTGAATTACAGAATTTACTTTTCGTGATATGGAAGATAATTCCTTCGTTCTTCGACTAAGTTCGAAGTCGTAAATTGTTTCGCTAATAATTAGTAAAAAGGAAAATAATTAAAAGGAAAGATAAAAAGGAAGATCTCCATAATTCCTCTCCATATATTCCTTGCGGAAGGGAAAAAACCCCCTCGCATTCTTCGACGAGTTTGAACGTTGCGAATTGTTTTGCCAATAATTAGAAGAAACAGAGATAATATCGGTTGATATATTATACTTCTCGCGGTACGGAAATTTCAACGAAGCGATTCCAGAGTTGCAAGCTGAAATGCGAAGGCCACACGAAAACGTCTAGCATCTGCTTTCTTTTATTGACATTATGCTATGCGTGAGTTTTGCCAAGCGACTCGAGCATGCAATCACGTTCTTCTAAAGGCATTTCGTGGTGAAACGAGTTCTTCTAGGACGCCGCGGAAATCATAATTCGCGTTCGATCGATTGCTCGATCGTTGCGCAAGTGCGCCTGACGGGTCGGGAATCTCTTTCACTTGGGATTTCTTATACTGTTATTTTTTCACACCGGAGAACAAATAAACCGGTTACAAGAGAAAAAGTACGCTGATAAATGCTACGGTTTTCTCTGAGAGAGAAGTCCTAGCAGAAATTTCATGCGGTTTTCGAACGACTATCGGACAGTTGTGTCAACTTCTATTTAGTAGCTATTAAGATAGGAAAACTACTCGGGATCAAGACGCGACGCTTTTGTCGTAGTTACTGCATATGACAGATGCGCAAAATTTGAAGCTATTACCGAACGAAAACGGGACAAAAGCTATTCAATTGATTAATAATCAAATTTGCTAGTCAGGTTTGCCATTTCATTTTTATACACTCTTTTTAATTGAGAAATTTTAATGCTAATGAAAGTCATAGTCAAGTAGGAAATTTTTTATATATATTCTCGTGTTTTTTCATTTTTTTACGTATTATCTTTTACAGTCATTAAATAACATATCCTTTTAGCGGTAATTATACTGTTTCATCAGGTTCTGAGTCTGAGCTATCGTGACAATTTTCACTTGTATCGTTGCTATCAGAATAGTTTGATATGTTCTCGTTACAATGAATTTCTATATCATTTACATATATTTTGTTTGTTTTTTGCTCACTTTTGCATCAAACTTGGACTGTCATCTCTATCACAGAGTATCTCTTAAATAGGGTGCTATACTTACTGAAAATTTTACCGATAAAATACTGACTTTCTTCTGCAAAGTTTACGTCCTATTAGTTGAACAAAAAATTATAAATTCTTTTACACATTTAAAGTATATATAAAAATAAATTGGAGCATTGCTTAATATGTGATGAAAAACTTTGGAATTAACATTTCGAGCTGTCAGTTGACATAAATATTTACCTGATACAAAAGTCCTGTAGTTTGTGCATATTAAACGCGTGTTTGTTCCGTCCAGGGAAATTTTACGTTGCTGTATCCTTACAACTGAATTTAAAACTGAGAAATATACGGGAAGTTTGCAGAAGAAATTTCTACATATGTATGGTTGTTTTCCGCCAAGTGTGCTAAAACAAAGCAGCACATATTTATGTAAGACCTACATATACAAGAAATACGAAAAGCATAGAGTACTCGTGTTAGTGACAGTCGTATCGACGTTATCGACATTTTTTGGAATTCGTCGTGCTCTTTGGCATCCCCTTAGGGAATGCCATTCCTTTAATATTGTTCGATGTCATATTTCCTGCTATTTCCGTTTTCTTACTCTATACTTTTCTATGCATCTATTCATTGTTCACGCAATACCCTTATAGAAATATCATACTAAGAATCATTGATAATTACTTATTATCCAGTATTTTTAATACTGAAAATAAGTAATTATCAATGATTCTTAGTATGATATTTCTATAAGGGTATTAAGCTCTTTTTTTAACGCTCTTTTAATAATACGTTTTAAATCTTTTCACGATAGACATTATAATACGTGCACATTATAAAACTGAATTAATATTGCTCATAGTATGTCTCGGGAAGAATCAGTTGTACAATAAACTGCTTCAGGCAGGGATTCTATCAAGTTCTTTTTTCAGTTCCTACGCAATATTTTTGTAACTAATGAAAATACATTAATAATGGACAATAGCTAAAAGGATATTTACGCAAACTGCATGCATTTCTACCGGGGAGAGTTTGATAGCAACAAGAGGGGTGTTAATAATAACGATCAACAACAACGGGTAAACGAGATAGGCATATATGTGCGTGTGCGTGTGTTCTTGACAATTTTTTTATTATCACTGGGAAAACATTCAGTGCACCGCATTTTTGCGACACGGTGCACCGTACAAAAATACAGAATCTATACAGGATGAAACATTGCACAACGGGTTATATATCGAGATGCACGACGGGGGATTTTAGTATCTCGGTATAAACGTGGAAAACCTATCCTTTGGCGAAAGCACTTCGTCGACGTCTGAGACGGCTGATAGTACGGTGACGAATTATTATTGCGCTGCCTGTGAGGTCAGATCAGCCCAGAACGTCGCGTAGTCTTTTAATATACTGCCACTGAAATAAGAATGAAACATCGCTGTAATGACTTGTTTGATATGTTCATTTCATTTCGCGTTTCAAACGACACTTTGAATCAATATATGCTCGATTACACACACAGAGAAAAAGAATTTTGAGATTTTTGTTGCGAGTATATCTGACGTATTTTTGACATGTTAATCTTCAAGTAAGATCATAGCGTTAGACGAAAATTCATTACTCGCAAGAATATATTTGATATGACTCAACGAAGATAAATCTGTGTTTTTATTATTTAAAAATAATTTTCATTTAATGGAAAGCATATCGGACTGAGAATATGCAAATATTTTTTTGAATGTCGGAAAAAGATTTCATCAAAATAATTATATTTGTACTTCTTATGAAACTTGCAATATTAAAATGAAATTATATTCAATATAATACTATTGAAATTTGAGATTATAAAATTCTTTTAATAAAATTATATATCATTGCTCATATATGAAACAATTATTATTAACTTGAGTATGTTAGTTTTAAGAGAATAGGGGAACCTGTGAGGTATGATACATATTTAAAAATATTATATTCTCAGTTCGATATTTTGTGCTTTCTATTAATGAAAATTATTTTTGCAAAATAAGAATACAGGTTTTTTCTTCGTTGAATCATACAAGATATAAACATATGAGCACTCGCGCTCGGGGGAAATACACCGCAATATTACTCGCTACTATAAAGATCGCGTTAGGATTAGGATTCGCGTGCGAATTATTAAGTTCCACTAAGAATTTTGTAACTGGGTTTTCCGTTCAAAATAGTGTTCCATGAGGATTAAGCCGCGTTATTGTGCGCGTTACATGTGCAATGTTGATGATAATTCGAAGGTAACCTAATCCTAATTAGAGCGAGCTCGGGGATTGCTTTTCCAAAGAAACCTAAATTTAAAAATGTTGAAGAAACTTTACAATTTTCTATTTAAAAAACTACTTTTTCTCTTATAAAGATTTACGGAGGACATTCGGAAATAATTGTTCAATGTTTATTTTCTTGTGAATAACTAATTTTCGTTTAACGCTATGTAATCTCATTTGAAGACAAATAATTTTAACATGTCAAAAATAAAGATATTTTCTAAACGAGATATTTTTCTCTTCCATGCACGTATATTTAGTCTGCTTGAATTTTAACGACGAATTCTTTGACGAATTTCGAGAGTCCACTTCTGTAGGAAACATAAAATCTCTCTTAAAAGGTAAAACGAACAGAAACTTAATCGAGTAATAGAATCTCATTTTATAATTGTACCTGGGAAATCCGATACGATAAATGTTCTATTTTTATTGCAAATTATGCATTAAATTATACATTAAATTATTTCCATTGAAAATAATTAATATCATGAAATTGCGTTATAAAGGGGAAATTGACGTGAAGTTCATCAAATAATTCCTAAATGAGGGAGAGCGGCGGCAGCTGAGTCACCATATCAACCCGACGTTGATGAAAAATTATTAAAAAAGAGAGAAAAGCCCTCATCTCACGCGTGGACACGCGCAGCGTGGCTAAGACACGTCGAAGCTATTTATAATAGTGAACAAATTATGCTCCCTGCTTGTTCTCGAGTCTTTTTCGTAGCTCAAGGCGTTCTGAACGAACGCTCACGGTCAAACTTTCTAACGCAAAACCGCGACAGGAAATTCGAGTTATTAGCGAGTCTCGCGCGCGTACACGCGCGATTACGGGGCGACGGAGTGTGATAAAGACAATTATTTCCAGCGGCCGATGTCGTACAATTAGTCCTGCTGCGTCATCGCAAGCCGACCGCGAGTTATTGCGTGTCCATCATATCCGCGACTCGTTCTACCGTTATTAAATTTAACTACTCGCTAGGAAGCGCCACGAAACATGCGCGCGTCCGCATGAGCACTCGCGCTCGGGGGAAATACTCCGCAATATTCATTACTCGCGACTATAAAGGTCGCGTTAGGATTAGATCGCGTGCAAATCATTAAGTTCCACTAAGAATTTTTTAACTGGGTTTTCCGTTCAAAACAGTGTTCCATGAGCTTGTTAGAATTAAACGTGTTATTGTACGCGTTAGATGTGCAATGTTGATAATAATTCGAAGGTAGCCTAATTCTAATTAGAGCGAGTTCGGGGATTGCTTTTTCAAAGAAAACTGAATTTAAAAATGTTAAGGAAACTTTATAATTTTCTATTTAAAAAAACTGCTTTTTCCCTTATAGGGATTTACGGAGACCATTCGGAAATAATTGTTCAATGTTCATTTGCCCATACCTTAGTTAGACGAACCGAAATATTTTCAATATGTACACAGTCTTGTTTTGAAAATATCTTTACTTTGGACATGTTAATCTTCAAATAAGATTACATAACGTCAAATGAGAGAAGATTTACTTGAATCAATATACTTTATATTCAATTCAACAAATAATTGTCTAAATTCAAAACAATAAAATTCTTCTAATTAAATTACATATTGTTATTTATATATGAAACAATGATTGCTAATTTGAGTATATCAATTTAAAATAGAGTAGAAGAAAAAATATGAGGCATAACACACATTGAAAAACATCATATTTTCAATCTAATATTTTGTGCCTTCTATTAATGAAAATTATTTTTTAATAATAAGAACACAGATTTTTTTCGTCTAACGCTATGTAATTTTATTTGAAGATTGATATGTGAAAAATATACATTCCAAACAAGAATATTCTTTTTCTCTGTGTATATCAATTCTCGATTATCTATTAGTGATTCGTGAAAAATCGTGATATTCTATTTTACAATGATTTCTTAAAAACAATACGCAATAAGAAAAGAGATATTTAAAAGATAAGAAATATTTATTCGATGGGTATTAACAACATATTTTATTTGTATTAATAATATATTTATATTAATATATTTGTATATTTGTATATTAATATATTTGTATTAATAATATATTTATATAGAGAAAAATTTCTTTCAAATGAGGAAATATATATTTTCCTAAAACCGCTGTTTTTCATCAAAGCAATTGTTTATTTAATTCTCATTTATTCCATTTATTCTGTTTTTACTTTATTTGAAGAAAATAATTTTTTATTTGAGCAAATATATTATCATATAGTACCCATTGAATAAACACTTTTTTATTTTCCAGATATTCTATCTCTCAGTGTAAAAATTGCCACGCGGAATTATATCACAGAGTTCTTATACAACCGTTTCTCAATCGTAAAATGCATCTACATCTAGGATATAACACCGCGTACATAACTGAAGTCACATTCTATCTCGCGAAACGGACAGAGAGAAAAGAGGACGAGTTAATTAGAGAACAATTACGTGGGAAAAAACAGCCTTGCCGATGATTGCGACACGTTTCACCGTGCCTACGGAGCGTCGCCATGAGATTCACGCGCGCGCATCTATTGTGAAGCTTTTTTGCCATTGCACGACGAGAATTGCACACTCACGTGAAATAAACGCTGCCTTGTGCATTCGGGGGCGCGTTCCAGATGAAGGTTGCCTGCTCCTTGTCGTGCGGGTCCGCGTGCGTAACCGCGCTGCACTCAGGGTGAGTGTTCGTGTTCGGGGTTTGCGCCCAGGAGCCGATCCATTTGTTCGTCTCGGTATCGCGTGCCTGCAGGAAAAATCCTTTGAACGGGGCGCCTCCGATGGTGACTGGAAAATAGACGAGCCGAATTTCAATAGAGGAGGGTGGAGGCACGTTATATCCGTTCGGATAAAATTCGACGCGCCCTTTATCGCCCGTGTGCGTCTGGGTGTTCGCGATGAAATAGCGCTTGTTGTCGTGACACACAACGTGAATTTTACGTGTTTAAGGCAATTGCGCGCGCGAATCTGTCGATATCGGTGTACTAAAATGATTTCATATCAAGGAAGAACGGCAGCAACAGTTGTAAACGGCGGCGGTGGCTCATTTGTCAGAATTTTCAGGCGAAATGATATGGATAAAAATGAATGGAATACAAAATATTTCATATCGTGATACAAATCTGCGCCGAATATACGAATGCAGAACTGTCGGCTTTTTATTTATTTTTTGGTTGGGATTACATCGTTGAACTCGTTACCGAAATCTGACGGAGAAAATAGTGCAATAAAAATTGCAACAAAATTCCGTAATCTTGGATTATACAGAAATTATGATCGAAATTATTATTTTCTCTTGTAAAAAAATGTTTTGTATGTTTGACTTTTTACTACAAAATTATTATAATTAAAGTAAATGTTCTAATGATCGAATTAATAAGAAAGCACCATTAGTTTTATATTTTTGCTAATAAATAATTAATGTGACATTAGTATAAAAAAAAAACGTTTACGCAAAACTTTGATTTGTCAGTGACCGAGGAATAATAGCAAATAAGATAATCAATAAATATCAATTGTAGTTTTAATGAGAAAAAATTGAACTGAAAAACAAATTATGTCCTAATTACCTAATAATACAGACTCAATGCTTGAATACATATTAAATGATATTGCAAATTGGCGATAAAAAATATCTTTTAACAAAGTTTCGGAATCTCTCTTTTTTTTAGAAATATTAAATACAAATATATTATTAATGTGTGTTACAATAATTGTGGCATTGTTCAATTTGGAACATTACTTGCATGTTCTTTATGTGTGCTCTGTTGTTCAGTATATATAAATATAAAATCATCAAATTAACTATTTCTATATAGTAATGTTTATACTATGATATCATTACAGACCAACTTTACGGAAAATATTATGAAATGTAACATAATCTTAACATAATTTTTGCTACAATCTTTTCTCCCTGTATATTCAGATTTTATCCTGTTTTTGTGTCATTGAATTGCCTATCATCCTATGCATTAAAACAATAACAAGCGGCGTTGCGTTACATGTTGGGAAAAACTCTCTCCAAGGTACAATCAGCGTGTTCCTCACTGATGTTGTGCCTATAACTGGTAGTTTCATTATAAATGTAGTTCTATTATAAATGTAGCACTGCAATCAGTAAAATCTCGCTGAAAGAATCAGTCGATAATAGCGACTACTGTTTCTATTATTGATGCAGTTTGCAAATACAGACAGTGTCATTGCATGCAAATTGTATGGAAATCGGTTCCATCGCCAAAAATACAGAAAGTTGGATCTGTATACGTATAACGAGTAGTGTGCAGATTTTGCAGTAAAAAACTTTCTTTCACCGGTCAAAATCAGTGAAAAATAAGATAAAGTAGTAAAGTGGGAGAAAATCAGTGAATATTCACTGATTATTGGTAAAATGTTGATTTTTCCTTTATTGATTCAATCAAAAACATTTCTAATTCACTTCAAGAGAGTGCAATACACGTAAATAAGAAACTGCGATACAACCGGCGAGAATTTGATCTTCGGAACGCATAGATGGTATTACTAAATGTGGAATAATAATTATATTTCTGCATCAAATTTTTCGAGAAATTTGTACTGTTTCAATGCAGACACGTACACACACATACATACACCCGCACGCACGCATCCTTATATCTCGATCGATACCACACATTTCGACGTACCCTGCATCAAAGAAGGCTGCCTTTATCTAGTACTTGCCTCAAGTCGCAGCGACATACTTGAATCTTATAGACCGCGACCAAGTTCGACAAGGCGTGCCTTATTGAGCTTTATAAAAGCTTTCGTAGACTCGAAGCCGCGCAGAGACTTGTCCCGCATCTATTAATATCGATATCCAATTGACAAGCAACGAAACAGACACCATAGTAAAATAGAATTCATTAAGCGTCTGACTGAGATTCGGCTGGAACGAATCTCCGCGTATCTCCGCGTATTGTAGCGATATAACGAGCTAAGTTCATCGCTATTTTGCAGTCTATGTTAACCGGGTTCCTTTCCTCACTGCGTTTCCTCTGTTCCTTCCCTTTTGTCTTTGCAGAAGCGCGCACGCAGCGCGAGCTATACTTGTCCTGCTTCCAACTTCTTCTGAAAGCCGTGAGAAAACGAGTTTAGAGAAGTTCTCTGGAAAAGTTGTCTAGGAAAGATTCTTTCTTCGAATTTAATTTCCGCCGGAAAAGAACCGTAGTTCTCTCTGTCGGCGGTCGGTGCACTTGCATACCTCAGCGAGCGGGCGAGTTTTCTGCGAGCTTCGCGTTTGCATAAATATGTAACTTCGGGCTCGACCGACCACGGTCTCGATCTTTCACGCGGCACGAGACGGAGCTAAGCTCTCTTCGCGGATAAATGACATTCGTGTTTCAATCACACCCTTGCTAAGCTACTCCCTTTCACGCTCGCAAGACACGCAAGCGCGCGCGCGCATCCCCTTGTCCTCCTAATTTGCTATTGTTCCACGATTTCGCCGTGCCGATTCGAGTTAACAGAATGCATCATTGTCGATGTTCGGCGCATTTCACGGTTGCGATGCTGATTGATTCGATTGTGCTGCGTCGGACAAAACGCAAGCTTCTTTGACGGAAACTCGACAAACTGGCTCGTGACGCGCACATGCGATGCAAACTCGCCGCTCGTGCGACATGATTTCTCTCTGCTGTTGGATATCATCATAGGGTATCATCAGTATTCCGTGATATCCAGATATAATCCTTATCCCTCTGCGCAGTGATTCAATTATAGTAAAAATGAGATGCATAGAAATTGATTATTTGTAGATATTCATTTCAAAAGTTTCAACAGTAATATAAAAGTATACAGACACTATAATCTTAATTATAATATGTTCTCTCAAACTCTATATTTCTTTCTTTATAGTATTCGTAAAAAATAAAAGCAAAAGCTTATTAATTTACTACGTGTAAGTATAAATTACAACACAACAAATTAATATTGCCAATTTCTCATTGAATAAAAGCGTGTTTTGTTTCGAAAGATTATATTATTGTTTGTCGTATTATTGCATGAAATAATTCGTTATATCGATATGATTTATAAAGAAAAGTTTTTGTATATAAAATACACTTTGATAAAAAAATTACTGTGATATAAAGACCAGAGCTGCGTTCGGGGAGACGCTATTTGGCGCTAAAAGCGTGTTCTGTCTAAAAGCTTATTCAACTTTCAGTAAGTAACAAGGACAGAACACGCTTTTAGCGCCAAATAATGTCTCCCCGAACGCAGCTCAGGTATCTAGTAAAATATGTTGTGGATCTTCGTGAATTCGATTGTTTCTTACGAAAAAGCCCTTCTCCACTAAAGGACTGAATTCACAAAGATCTTGCAACAGATGCGCTTTGCAGTTGCAAAGCAAGAAAAGCTGTTTTGCAACTGTTGTAAAATTCGATTTGTGTATGCAATTTGATTGGTGTATGCTCTTAGAGATTACGATTAAGAGTACGTAGACTTCCGAATTTTACAATTGCAAAACAGCCTTCTCTGTTGAACGCAGCTAATGAATACGGTTTCTGTTACGCATTGGACTTACCTGTGATCTGAGAGCCCGGTCCGTATTGCGCCGACGAGGCCACAATCTTGTAAGGGCTCGTGTTCAAGGGCTGCGACCGCGCTTCGCCGTGGTAGGGTTGATTAGGCCGTGGCTTTACGCAAGCATCCACCGGCGCACCGTCCGGAAATCCGAGGACGGGGATCGAAGAAAATACGACAAGCGTGAACAAAATCACGATGTGTTTGACGAGACGCATCTTTCTCGCTTCACTTCTTCCATTTCGATGTCCAACGCGGAAATACGTGTGACAAAATTTAAGAGAAATAGTAATCGAGAGTAGAGACACATACTCTTAATAATTATAGGACATGTGCATTGTGAAGCACAAAGGTCCGTATTAAAGCAATGTCAAAATGGATGACAAACACCAAAAATGTCGATCATGTAAAAGGTGATTAACTCGTCACGATTATACTACTTCTTTTTATGTGTTTTATATATATGTAAATCTGATATAAATGTGTATTGCTTTGTTTCAGTATTAACGGAAAATGCAACTATGCATATATAGATATATATATAGATATATATATATATAGATATAACTATGCATATATATATATTTTTTTGCAAACTTTTCGTGCATTTTTAAGTTTCTAAATTCAGTTGTAAAGGTACAGCAATATTCTTTACAATTTTCCTGAGCAAACACATATGTTGAAAACTTTTATATTAAGTAAATATTTACTCTAATTGGCAATCCGAGATATCGATTTTTAAATTTTTGGTCGTCTTCGTCACGTACTGAGTACTACGCTCTGATTGATTTCTGTACGTATTTTTATCGTGTAAAAGAACTTGTAATTTTGTGCAATCAATACGACGTAAATTTTGCAGAAAGAAATCAGTACTTGTGTAGTTGATAGTTTTCAAGTATGGCATCTCTTTCTTAATAGTCGTTACGTGAAATTTACCTTAGAAAATATTTGGGCTTCAATCTAGAGTTAAATGTGAGTTTTTCAGCTGAATCGCGAATACAAATTTAATATCACATGTAACATGTTGTCATATGATTTAAACAGAAGACTCAAATCTAACTTGAACTTCAGATCCGAATATCTCAGGCGGGACAAGTTCTAATTAACGATTATTGGTACAAGTCAAAGTATCGACATGTTAAAGTTCGCTTAATCAAAAAATACGCGCATTGATTAACATTTATCGTAAAAATCGATGTTATTTGTAACTTTTCTCGTTTGTTCCGATTTTTATCCTACGGTACACTCATGCTTATTCATAAACGTCTGTCTACTGGAAAATTGATAAGTTTTATAATTTGCGTGTATTTTTGTGTTCCAACTTCTCTCGGGCTGCATAAACGCAGCGCGTCCTCGTATCAGGTCTCTGACAAAGTTTAAATTACTCACTCCTCGGTATAGTTCAATTAATAACTAACTACACCACTTTTCATATCAAGTAAAGTTTCGGGAGGTACGAATAAATGCGAATTTTGACAAAAGTGTTTATACGACGCGCATATTTGCCGAGAAACATCGATAATTCGAGCTTTGCTTGCAACATTCCTCTTTTTATTTACGTTTATATCGATATTCATCATTCGTTTTCTCCGTTATTTCAATATTCTAAAAACATCGGTTATAATATAACGATAAATATCTACGATACGGAAATCTCACTGTTAACGAAATTTAAATCCTTGGCTGACCGACAAGATTTATACATGAATAATTCGACAGAACGAAGCTTGCCGTGCACAAACTCAATTTCTAGATTCAGAGAAATTTACAAGTTAATTTGTCTCAAGACGCTACTTGAGGCAAACTTAATTAACATTTAACTGATTACTAAAAAGAATTTAATTATGACACGCTTTTGTCAAGTCACGTGAATGTAATAACGCGAAAAGATTAATCATTTTCCACAAAAAATAATCACTTTTACACACACTGAGAAGAAAAATCTTGAAAATTTATTTATATAAATATATAAAGTTACTCACAAGAATAAACTTATTATTATATAAAAATATAAAGGATATAAAGGATATAAAGTTTATTCACAAGAATAAACTTATTAACTTTCTTATTTTATTATTAATTTTTTATTATTATTATATTATTTTACAATTAATAATTAATATCTTATTAATGTCTGAATAATGTCTAATTAATGTCTTATTAATAATAGTGAAATTAATATTTTATTATTATTAATTTTATTGTAAGTTCATAGAAAAAAGCTTTATATTCCACAAATAAATTTTCAAGATTTTTTCTCAGGGCACCAATGATCGATCGAATTTCTTACGATAACAAGATAACACAAACTTACTTAGGACAGTACGTTATTACACGGGAATCAAGGCAGTGATTCGCGCAAGAATAAAAAGGTGCTCACGACAGAGCCGCACGTCAGAAACTGCAGTATCCGATTCGTTGCCGGTAAGCCAAATGTTGGCGGAATCCCACCTTAGAATCTCATAGCTGTACTCAATACGCTTTTGCTAATTGAACACTTTCACTCGATCTTGCAACCGGTTCTCGCCTAGTTCTTTTAAAAGGATGCATAGCTTTATGCAAGATACGAGTTTTATGTAAGAAAAATGCAATCGAGCGCTAGTATTTTTTAACAATAATTGAGAATCCATTCGACATCATCACAAATCGATACGAGAATGCTTGCACGAAACAGCTCGCCTTACAGACCGTGAAACAACGCACGGATTTTGCTGTTAATTTAGCACCGAACTAATCGCGATGAAATTTTATTACGTTTACGTCATATGGCAACGGATCGATTCGCAGAAATGTTGTTTTAAAACAACGCGCTACGCTCCACTGACGCTTGGAAATCGTGATAAAGACCGCATTCGTCAGAAATGGTGCATTCTCGAGTATTTACGTATCTTACGTTATACCATCACTAGCCTCGTACTGCACATGACAGGCTTGACGTTCGTATGTTGTCAAACGAAATACTCGTTATTTGTCTGCTGTCAATGATAGAAGAAGGAAAATTTCCGCCGATGTTTTGCACATTATTCCCGACATTCCGTCGCGCTCCCCTGCGAAATTCAAAATATGCCCTTTCTGCGAGAGAATCTAAGGACATTAAACTAAAATATTCAGCGGGCTTGCATGTAAAACGCTAACGTAATTTCCACTATCGTAATTACGACAAGCGATTAAAATAATAGGGATGCTACTACAGAGGAGCATGTCTGCGAATATCTCGGGAAAGTATCGACGATGTATCAAACTCTTGCATCGTAACAGCTGGTGCTTTTATGTCGTAAGACACATTCGTTCCGTAGCGTAATCTTTGACATTTCATACAGCACTTATCGATTTATCAGACGACAAGCGCTCGCAACAAATGGAACTATTGCATTTCGCATTCGATTACGTATTTCGCAGACCTAACACGCTCCTTTCACCACCGATTATTAAATACTGTACGTATGCGGTAACGCGAATAAATCTCAGTTTGCGTAATATGCGGGCCCGTAACATTGACCTTTATGTAATACTTTCTTTTTGTTGTCTCTCACATGGGGATCTGTCAATTATATTACACTATAATATATTACGCTCACTCTCAGGCGTAGAAACTAGTTTCTGCACAAGCTTTTCTCCGTATTACATCAATGTTAAATTTTTACTATAGCTTAATTTATCAGTCGATAAGACCATTTTAATAAGATAAACTTGTTCAGAACCTGTTTTATATCTCTATTGAGTAAATATCGATTGATTATAAGTTTATTTTACGATACAACTGTATAATTAACATTTGCCTTAGAATATTGGATACATAACAGGATTTCGTTTCATTTCACAATTTAATTTATTTTCATTTGATTTGTATAATCTTTCACGTGTTTAACTTTTAGTTAGTTTTTCTTACTTAACTCTACTTGGGGCCGATTTTTCTGTAGTAGATTGAACTTAAATTTAAGTTTGAACTCGGTGTTTGAACAAAATGTGTTTAAGTAGGATTGAAACTTTAACTCTTTATGAAAATGTTTTTGATAATATTACTCTCACAAGCAACATCGACTTCTCATGAGCTACATGCAAAAATGATAAATGTAAGACGCATTTATTGTTGCTTTGAAGCAACATCTGGTTACTTGTTCTGTTCGTCTTAGTAGTTTCGATTTTTGCTACTAAATGATAAAAATCGTTGAAAATGTTTTTAAAATGAATATTTTTAAAACAATATAACTGCACTCAGAAGACATTATTTATTTCATTTAAATATCCAAAAAATGTTTTCCTTAAATTTTTTTGGACCTGCTAAATAAAGGTTTAATCTAAGCTCAAACTCCATTGAAAAATCGGCCTTTATAATCTTGATTTATTTATTCTTTTAATTGAAGATCAAAGATCGTCTTGAAACACCAAAACAATTCTGTCAATTTCGCCGTTCTGTTACTTTGTTTAATGTCAGATGACTGAGTATCGTATATTGAAATTTCCTATCTCGCATGCTCGAGACCTAAAATAAAATTGATTGTTCTAATTTTACCGGTATGTTGAAAAGTTTCTAGACATCTTTGGTCTCGTTTTCTGAGGGTATTACCGGAGGAGACGACGGCGCTAAACGCTCATGCCGAAGCGATTCCGTTGCATGTTAACCCTTCGAACGAACTCGCATAATGCAGAAGCGTGCGCGAGTTACATATTCGTACATACACGCTCTGACACGTATACATGCACGGTGAGTTCACTCAGTCAATGTGACTTTTCACACCGTATTATTGATTTTCCTTTTCAGGCCGTCGGCTGTACACACTAGAAATATTTCTTTCAGATTATCGTGCATCCCGTAAGAAAGGGAAAAAAAAATACATTTGCACATACTCGTCTCTCATGAAATGATATGTAGCACAGATGTTTCACATGTCCTTTCAATTGTTCAAAGTTTCCATGATATCATCGAAAGATACAATTTTCATAACGTTTTATTGTTACGAGGAAAACGAATATGAGATCGTCATTAGTAATTTATTCTCACTCAGGATTCTATTTATTACGGAACAATATTTGATCCTGTCAATGGCCCGTCTTATGAAGGGAATCGGATATAGATCAGGTACTAGCTTTGGATCATAAGATGGATCAAGAACATTCTTCGGAAAATATTTAAGCATTTTAAGAACCAGTCTTTCCGTAACTAATATTCAGGATCTAGTTGTGGATTATTTACATTACTTCTAAATGGCACATATAAAATTAAAATATATATCTTAAGAAATGTAAAACAGTAATCAATCCTAAATTCATCTTTATAGTATTTATCATGATTAATTGTACACTTAGTTGCGAGACGGTTTGAATACTTTTCTTTTTATAAAATTAGGAACGCGTAAAATGGTCATGGTTGTCAGTGCGGCAATCCATTTGATAGGAGCCGAAGTGACGACATATGAGGCCTCTGACGTCACAGCTGCAACGGACTTATGACTGACTGTTTCTTCTCCATCAGAAGAAATGTATCCAAACCTTTTTGCAAACGAGTGTACCCGTTGAGTATTATGCACTCACGCTCGCATGTTCTTATAAGGGAAAATATCCATGTTGATTCTTATGATGATCCACAACTAACTTCCTTATCCTATGCACATCTTCCATCAGGTCAATAAATATATACATAATTGTCACGGATACATATGTACATGATTATCGCGCATAACGAAATTATTATGCTAAAAGCGGGCTATCGAAGTCTTCTTGTGAAAAAAAATTGATATACTGTATAAGAGGATATTGACGCAGGAGATCTACCCGAAACCAAACTTGCGATTTCAAGTAAATGTAGTCAACTTGAACACATAAATGCAATTCTTACATATTACAATAAATTGTAATGTTCATTGCATTCCCTGTCGGGTACCATAAAAATATGGAAAATTATTACAAACGATATCACGAATCCTCAGACGCATACACATAAATATTATACATATATATCACATGTATTTCAAAATTTAATCATCTTTGGATAAGTTATCTGTGCCGTATATATTGTTTTCTATTATTTCGATTGCGCAAGGTTGCGGCAACCATCCTCTTATACGTTTCATTCCTGTGTCTCCTCCTCCCTTCTGCTCTTTTTCTCCAAATAGCCAATATCTGCAAGAAATTGTAGTATTTTTCAAGAATTTATCAAAGATATGAGTGTGATATCATAGATAAAATTGAAATAATGCAAGAATTACCTCTTCCAACGCGTTATAACTACCATATCTCCTACGTCTAACTTAATTCGCGGCTCATCGGTACAAGGTGGATGGAAGAATACACCAAAACCGTGTGTAATTGGAAACCTTGATCCTGATGCAGGTTTTATAATTCTATATCTGCGCGCTCTTTTCCGTTTGTCTAATTTTTGTGCGAGTTGTTCCCTCTAAAAAACAGCAATAAATATATTGCATAAGTATTTAATAGTTCTTAAACAGTAATTGAACACAAACTACAATATTTACAGGAATTTTAATTCCTCATCTCTTATTCAATTAATAATTATTACAGCAAATTATTATTTTCATGATGAAATTATATATACATATATATACCGTTAATGTGTATTGATCACAACCATCGATGATGGGCCACGTAATACCATCGCCAACGGGAGTGCAGTCCCATGTAAGAACTTGTCTTATATTGAAGCGCCATCCTTTCGAATACGGATGCATGTATTTAGTATCTTTATCATCCTGCCGGTACCGTGCTTTCTCCAAAATCCAATCTTCTATCTCTGTTCGGTTTCTCACAATGGCCAACATCTGCATAATTTATAGAATACATTAAAATCGCAAATAAGAAAGTTAAAAAGATATATACGTGCGATCGTTTACCTGTAAATACAGTAGCATTCCTACTGCAAATACTACACCAATCGATAAGCCGATACTAAATACTACTAATATTAACATGTAAACCGATGGCGGTGGAAATGGCAGCGGTTTCAAAGATAGCACCGTTTCCAGCCAGCAGATTAATATGACAGTAGAGACGCAGCAACCACCGACTGCACTCGCTAAAAATGCCGTGAAGTGACCGTGGTTGTAATGTCCGACACACGTATTTATCCATGGACAGTGATGGTCCATTTTCATAACGCAACGACCACCTAAGACATATAACATTGTTTTCTTATATATACAGAATATCCCGGATCACCTTCACAATCTCTCGTGAGGACGTAGAGCGGGTTGAGATGAACACAAAAGTCCCATACCGTTTTGCGATATTTGCAATAATAGTCGAAATATTAATTAAAGAAAATTGGTGAATGATCACGCGCGATACGGTAGATGAGCTGCAGTGGCACCGTCTGCCGCTGTATATTTATACATTAAGTCAAACTGAACAAAAAAGTCCTCTACCATTTTGCAAATGACCATATAGATTTTTAGATATTTAGAAAATTAAAGAAAATTGTTACATGATTGTGTATCATAATGTACAAATTTTCTTTAATTAATATCTAAAAATCTATATGGTCATTTGCAAAATGGTAGAGGACTTTTTTGTTCAGTTTGACTTAATGTATAAGTATACGACAGTAGACGGCGCCACTGCAGCTCTTCTACCATATCGCGCGTGATCATTCAATCTTCTTTAATCAATATTTCCAATCTTCTTTAATTAATATCTAAAAATCTATATGGTCATTTGCAAAATGGTAGAGGACTTTTTTGTTCAGTTTGACTTAATGTATAAGTATACGACAGTAGACGGCGCCACTGCAGCTCTTCTACCATATCGCGCGTGATCATTCAATCTTCTTTAATCAATATTTCCAATCTTCTTTAATTAATATTTCGACTGCGAATATCGCAAAACGGTATAGGACTTTTGTATTCATCTCAATCCGCTCTACGTCCTCACGAGAGATTGTGAAGGTGATCCGGGACACCCTGTATATGTATATAAAAAAAATATATACAAGTATATATTATATATTTAATCCCTTACATTTTCTACAATGATGTGATCTTGGTGCTTTATATCCTTGGCAGACAGTACAATACTGCAGATATTGAGTATCGGTAGCTTTTTCCTAAAAGCATGTTAGCATATTAGTGAAAGTAGCAAGGAGAGAATACATAGATTCATTGGACAGATTTACAAAGATTCATTTCAGATATAATTATGTATTATTTAGATGAAGCATGACATATCCCACATGATTCATTTCCTGAATTTTTCTGAATTTACTATTTACAAAAAATAATGTAGGATATATTACTGGCATCCATTTTAATGTGAGGTATCCAGGGCCTTCAAAAATAGCACTGATGAAGTGAAACAAGGTAGATCCACTTAGGCAAAAAAATAACAGGAAACTAGCTGCAGCTGGAATACTTTCTTGTGGCGACCACCACTGTCTACTACAGTGTATTGTCATTAACGTGATTATTTTGATTATTCCTGCAACAAAAATGAGTGCATTGAAGAAAAAGAAGAGAAAACAGATGATAATGTAGAGTGAATTGCAAAATAACTTAGATACAATGAAGTTAGGAGTTCATCAAATTGTCAAAATTTAATCATTATTTGACATGTTTGCCCAGTAATTATATAATTAGTTACTATTAACTATTATATTAGTATTGTTAATAATCATTATTTAGTGATTATATGATTAGTTACTATTATATTAGTATTAATAATCATTGTTTAGTGATCTTTATTATATTATTATTGCACAAGTCTGTCGCGGTAATGACTCTCAATTTTAACAGTTTGGTTGGTCGTCAACCTGATTGTGTATGCAGGCCGTTTTGCAGCCTATTGTCTAATAAGTGGGTCCCGCATAATGAATCACGTCGCGACGATTCATATTTCGCGGGTGGACGACGGTCGATGGCGCTAAAGAAAATGGGCGCGGTTGAGTGTTCTCTAATCGTCTAACTCGCATGATGCGCTCGCAAACAATAACATCCAAGTTACAGCTCAAAGTTCACGATCTCACGCGCGGGTGATGTCGCGAGAACAATGAGAATTCCAGAGAGAGAAAAAGAGACGCGTCGTTCAAATGTTGTGCCGATCAATTCGAACATGGCCAGCCGACGATGCACACGATGTCGGTCGCGCGATTCCGTCGATCTCTCACGATTGTTGATCAACGACGACGACGACGACGAGTCGGTAATAGATACCTGTCACCTACCTACCCAGAGCTGAAAGCGGTCCCCAATGACATATCCTCTTGAGCGGGCCAACGCACATACCGTCACCATAGAGCGGCCGACAGGCCCCCGTGCTTTGGTGAACTTGCGGCTCGATGTCCATGCGATCGTCGAAGCCGGGGCTCCGTTTCGGCGGCGGCCGCTGGTTCTCGGGCAAGCGGGTCCTTGTGGCCGCTAGTCGAGGCGCGCGTCTTCGTTGTTGTCACGGTGGCGCATCTCCCGCCTCGCGAATCGCCGGAGCAGCCGTAAGTTGGTAGTAGTGTCGTACACATTCTCGCGTGAATTCGCGCAATAGCTAGGAACCACCGGCTCGCGCTGCGGAAATAGAAGAGGTTAGGATCAGGTTAGGTCAGGTTAGATCGGGCATTCCCGCTTTCACGTCGAGGTACGCATGAGCCGCGGTATGGATGGCGACCTTTCCGAGGTATTTCCGAATTGAATTTGCTTCTCCGCATCTGTTCATCTCGGGATTCGGGTAGCTTCGCGTAATGATAAAAAATAGCGATAAAAAAAGACGAACAAGCGGACTTCTGCATTACTCCGTAGCCTGTACGATTGTTTCGTTAAGTTTCGAACGAAATTAACGGAATCGTCGTATTTGTTACGCGTTGTCACGCAACCGTCGTGTCGTGTCTACGCAAGGACTCGTAACGACGAGTTTGTCATGCATATCACGTCACAGCTATTAACTTAATCCGTCATACCTAACACACATAACAGCACACATGTAGACGACGCATCTCATGATCACTCTACACGTTTACACATGTTAGACAGTTTGCACCGAGGCCACGTTCGTACCTCACAACATACATGGAACGTACATACCACGACGAACTTGTCAAACTCAATCTAGCCAAGGTGGCCATTAACACTCACTATGGAACACAATACAGAATAAAACTAAGTTCAAACATTATTAGAATTTTATAGTCGCGTTTGGCCCATTTATAAGACAAGTTGTACATTGTTTTGCAGATTAATGACCCAAAACCAGTGATCACTAAGCCAATTGGACCTCATCGTCGAAAACCCATAAGACAAGAAGATTCTGAGGCAAACAGTTGTTTGACATATGGTCCAGAGGAATTATCCATGTCAGGTGTGCCCCGACAGAGACGAAAGTCAGACCATACATATAAAAATGGTGCATCATCTGATAACACCTCTGATGATGACAAACAGATGACAAATAATATTGATGAGGAGTTAGAGGAGGAAAGATTGCTCAATCATTCAGTCCCAAAATCTCCAAATCATTCTAGGACAACTTCCCCAGAAAGATTAGAAAATAGTAAAAAGAATAAATCTTTGGAGAATTCTTGGAAAAAGTTATCAACAGAGAAAAGAGAGAAAAAAAAAAAATTACAGTTGTCTAGCATTGAACAAAATCCAAATAGCTTTCTCTCTTGGAACATTGTTATTGTATTAGCACTTGTTGTATTCGTTTTACATTTAGTTTTAAGTGGAAAATTTGATAGTACAAGAGAAAACCAAACAGAACCCACTACAAATAATAGAAACTCATTTAAGCTCATTCAGGACATCAAGAGCAAATTTTATAGTCAAGATTCGCATATCTGGGATGAAATCTCGTCTGGGATAAACGAAGTGAAAATGAGAACTCCCAAGGTACCCTCGATCATTCTATTGTTCGCAAATGAAACGCACACAATGGACTGTTTGGCCTTGGCATTGGCGCATTTGAGCAGCGATGCTTTAGGTGGTGACAGTCCTTTGAATTTAAATCCAAAAGATTTCGGGACTGATCCTGGTGAGATTATTCATTATCTGAAAGGTGTTTCTGCAAAGAAGGCTGTGGTCAGTATGTATGACTGTGCAATGGGTTGCAAAATGGTCTAGATGCAAGGAAGTTAAGAGCACATCTAATTGTCAAAATTGAAAATCACTATTGACGGATTTACGCAATGATAATATAATTAATGTAATTACTGGAGACAAACCCGTCAATAACGATCCTCGGTTCTAACAGTCTAAATAGTTCTGCAATCCACTGTACATACTCTTCCAAACGCGAATTCGGTTGATATATGAGTCGTCGAGAGCAAAATTGGTGTGAATCAATTTTTTTCTAGTTTGGATTGACCGAAAAGACACGACAGAGAGCAGCAGCTCTTTGGCTTTGTGATATCAACTCAAATTAGAAGAAAAACACCGTTCTTGCTCTCAACGTCTCGTACATTAGCTATGCTTATGGAAACGAATGAATCTGTTGCAGATAATTCGTGATGTCTTGAATATTAATGCGGAAGCGATAAAAGCGTTGCACAATTTGTGCGATAGGATAAATCCGTTGATTCGAGAAGTTATTTACATCATTACGATGCAAACCAAAAATTACGAATCGTCACAACAGAAGATGGCATTTGTGGAGAAACATTTTTACCACAAATTATCGAAAAGCATTGACAAAGATGTTCTAACGGCACTCGTGACACGAATTACAGACGGAGCAATTATATTGGTACAACCCGAGCCGAATCTACGGTATTGTTAATTTTGCTGGAAGAGAGAAAAGGGTGAATTGTTATGTTTAATGTACAATTGATGGTATGGTAGAATTCTACATACTCCGGAATCGAGAAATCAAACGAAAAATTTCGTGTATTATATGTAAAAAGAAAGATTTTTGGGCATATTGACGCTCAAATTTCTTATTCAATTTTATTTTGTTGCATACTGCAAAAATTAATCGTTAGTGATTTCTCATTCTTGTAATTATATAACTAAAGTGTAGTAAATTAATTTTTCTTTAATTTATATTAATATTACGTACTCAATGATTATCGTAACTATAATAATTCATGCTTGTCTTTGCACATAAATCAAGAAAATCTAAATCTTTTAATTTCACTTTATTTTGTTATGCCAATGTTACACGAGATTAAATTTATTTTTAGTGAATCTTCCTATGTAATCACAATTTCATACTTTTATGTATTTTCAAAAAATATAACGACACTGCTATATCTAGCGATATTCACGCATATTTTCGAGAATGACATTTATTTAGCTCCAAAATAAAATACATTCAACAGGATTTCATTGTGTGTGATATTAGATTCTCGTGTTAATATGTCAGTCAGCAGTCCGTACAGTAATTAAATAATGTCGAGTATCGTATTTTGCTCATTGCCAATTTACAAGATCTTTCACATATATATGAAGATTAGTAACACCCTACTTTAGTTAAAACTATTTCAGACATTCACAAAATCGCAAAACGTTATTGAACGTGCTTGAATTGATAAAATTATATACATATGATCAAATAACAAAGACTCAGTTTCACTAATACTTTGTGTTAATTATGATTTATGTATAATAAACGATATATTGTAAAACAAATATTCACTGGAAAGTTCTTATTTTGAATTATCTTGTTCATTTTGAGTACCTAAATATCAAAAAATATATATATATACATATATTTAAACAAATTATATTCGCATATATATATTATAATTTTATACAGATTAACATATAAATTTTACGTAACTCGTATTGCAGATTATTTCTCTTCTGATATGCACATTCTCCCTCTTTCTCTTGTACTATATAAAATTTTATAAATACTAACTGCATTTTTATACCCATTTTCTTTTTGATGTTTTCTCAAAGTGGGTGAAAAAATGAACTTAAGATAATTGTAAAATTTTAACAAGATCTATTTATACAGATTTATTTCTCCACTTCAATAAGCCTTTTGTAGACTTCATACAGATCCATGGGAAAATAAAATATAATATTCACGATGTTTATTTAAACCAGTGCTTTTCAACTTTTTCTTTTTTGAGCGATGCAACACTTCCAAATAGAAAAAATTAGCAATAGGTTTCCATAAATAGAGATACATATTTTATATCAATCTACATGTATTTTAAACAATTTAATATGAGTGTTGGATGTGTGTTTGTGTGTATATATATATACACATACACATATTAATTTTATATATATATATATATATATATATATATATATATAAAATTAATGTAAAAATATAATTAAAGATGTTCTCTGATTAATTATATAGAAAAAATTCTATTTTTTCGATAAAAAAATCTTGCATTGTATTTGAAGAATGCTCACGGAATTATTCATCGAGACTTAATAATTCTAATTAATCTCTATATACTTCATTCAATAATAATATTATAGTATAACTTTTCCAAAATTTGATTTAGAAAATAGCGTGCATAATGGCAAAAAAGAAAATTGTTTTAAACTATATTCGTTATATACTACTCGTTAAGCATTTTATAAATTGGCAACAAGTACCCATAGCTGCGCACCTTGCTAAAATAGGACGTTTAGCAAAGCTTCAACTAGTGAGTTATAGTACAGTCGTTCTCTGTCGTAATAATTCAAATCGGTAACTAAAAGTAGACAGTATATATAGAGTTCGTATAATATAGTATGGTATCGTCAAACCTAAATAATAAATACATTTTATACAGTCGTAGACTTTTTATACAGAATGTCCAAAATCTAATGATGTGCTGTACAATCCCAATACTACTGATCATTTTTTTTTAATAATCTGCATACAAAAAGTTTAATATCATTTGTAGTTCTTTTGCTTTGAATCTAAATTCTGAAACAAAATAAGTTATTTACTTGACATATTCACAAATGTTCATAATTAAGAATTTAATAATTTGGTATCCAGTAATTCATTATGTGATCCTGAATTAATAAGAACATACGTAGAATAAGGTCGGCATATACTACGCGATTGTCAACGCAAAAGAATCTGCGCATACTTCGCACATCTTGTGTCGATGTAAAGCATACTTGTTATAAGTTGTAACTAAGGCTCTGAGGATTTTCTATAAATTGATACAGTATTGCGTTGATGGGGCCAGATACGACTATTGCTTTGCTTCTTAAGGGCACTCTGTATAGAATAGTCTTCAAATTACGAGATACGTATTTACAGTAAAAAAGTTTAATTGGTCATGTTTCTATCTAGTATAGTAAGGAGGTGAGTACCGCGTTGCGTAATGTTGTCCGTGTTGGCTACATAGTCGCGTACTTCAGTCGTTTAGTACCTTGCAGGTCCATGCAAGTATTATTTTCGTAATTCTGTGTCAGTCACATGTCGCACGAGGGTATGTGAGTCTGCCTCGTCAAATTGTCTTGATCATTGTCTCCACTTCTATTTAAGCGCTAAGTTGTTTATTCCTGTTACTCCTGATGAGACGTATCTCATACTAAATACATGCAAGTATGAGTACGTAAACTGCTTCTACGCAAATTGCACCAAGATTGTAGGTACAAGTATTGCCGCAATTTGACGTAGTTTTGGAAACTATAATTTTAAATAGTAACATACGGTATGTTATAGTATATTGTCTAAAATAACGAAAAAATAAAAAAAGAAAACATGAAAAGTAACTATATATAAGGACTTTACTGCTCTTCATAATTTGACGAAGAATAGATGACTTTGGGGCAACATTAATATTGTTTGATACAAACGAACTCTAGAGCGTATGCACAAATACATAAAATTATTTGTCGCGTCGATGTACCGATTTTAGGGACATCGTATATCCCTGTAGAACAAATAACCGTAAACACTTAACGAAACAAATATTGTATTCAGAGTTTAAGGACAGTTGATTAGAATTCAAAGCCTTGAACTGGTAGCTGGGAAGAATCTGGTGTGGTGAATTGGTATTCTTGTCCTTGCGAATCGATAGAAGGTACCAGTCTAGTATCCTCCTCCTCCGACCCGAAAAATCGATCGATAATATCAAAGGCCTTTTGATAAATATCCATATTTTGATGAGATTGCAAGAACTCTATTTTATCTAGGCCTGAAATGTCATGATGAGCGACACTCGTTAAGATTGTGTGTCAAAGTGTGTCTTGTGTGAAATCTTAAATACTGATACATTACCATAGCACTCTTCGATAAGGACTGCGTAGGGGTTAAGACCATTGTGAATGGGTGCGTCTTGTTCTCCCAAACGTAAAATATTTTCTAATCCGTTCAAAGCAACCTGCACAATTTTGGGATCCATAACAGTCAACAAATCGCACAATGGTGGGATACATCCTTGCATTGCAAGGTATCGAATTTGATCTGGCGTCCCACCGTTAGTAGCATTCGTGATTGCCCATGCTGCTTCTTTACGCGTTTTAAATTCAGCTTTTCCCAAAATATCAATTAAGACCGGAAAGATATTAGCGTCAATCACTGCCTGTGAAAAGCCAAAAATGAAAAGATAAAAAGATGAATGATATATCGAATAATAAATCACATCATTCTGATCATTTTCCAAACGTTGTAACGCACTTGAATTTGCTGTGGATTACCGGCAGTGATGTTAGAGACTGTCCAACAAGCCTCTTTACGAACACTTTCCCGTGGAGAACTTAAAAGATGCAACAGACATGGTAATGCTGAGCAATTTAATACGACTTGAGTTTGCACATCATCCCCAGTAACTATATTTCCTACAGCACGAAGAGCTGCGCTTATTACATTACTCTGATCATGCCTGAAAAAGAACATTTGCATTAGCCTTTTACTTGAGTAAAATTAGTCTTATGTATTATATATCCTATATGAGAATTGAAACGTACATAAGAAGTTCTATGAGGCGTCTACAAACGCCAGCATCGATAACAGCTTGTATCTTATCGTTTGGACCATCGCTCAAATAGGAGAGTGCCCAGCAAGCATCAGCGAGTACGTCAAAGTCAGCATGATTCAGAAGGTGCGCCAGAACTGGTAGACACGGTGCAACTTTTGCAAATGCTGGTGCTGGATTTTTCCCTCGGCAAAGGTTTGATAATGCCCATACCGCATTGCGAGTCATAGAGAGCCGTGTTGCTTTCGATAATAGTCTAAAAAATAGTGTCGTAAATCCATATTGATTGATCGTAACATTTACAGTTTTGCACAACATGAAAGCATTGACTGTATTCAGCAGAGGAAACTATTTTACAATTGTTGTAGCATTCGTGAATCTGATTGTTATACGCTCTTAGATTTAGACAAGACGAAGAGTATGCGCCAATTCACGAATTTTACAACAGTTGTAAAACAGTTTTCTCTGCTGAACGCAGCCATTGTATAAAATTTTTTAAAAAATATGGTGAAGTAAGGGTGAGACAATAAATTTAGAAAGAAATCGTAAATATAAGAAAACGTACTGCAAAAGTGGAGGGAGAATACCGTTGGCCAACACGTGATCTCTACATTCGGGACTATCTCCCGCAATATTCCCCAATGCCCATACAGCTTGTTCTTGCACGTCTTCATATTCAGAACCAAGTAAAGATATGAAAGTAGGAACAGCCCCTGCATCTATCACGACACGCGTTTGCTGAGATGTCCCGCTCGCTATATTTGTCAATGCCCAAGCTGCTTCAAACTAATAGATCACATTATTACTTAGCTTATTGACATCATGAAAGGAATTAACATACTCAAGGCCGATTGTTTTAACCTCTTGATAAGCTACCTGACATTTAAATCATATGCCTGTCTTCGTTTTTTCTTTAAATTGGACAGAAACAGACACAATTTAATTGTCAGGTAGTTTACCAAGAGGAATAATTAGTCCTCAATGTACTTAAGTTTACTTTCATGTACTAACCTGTAGTGTGCAATTTGTATTATTTTTAAGGAATTCAACGAATTGCGGCACAATTCCAGTTTGTATAACTTCATCTATAGGAGGGTTCGGCTCTCTTGATAACAATTTTCTAAATTTCTGCGTCGCTGCCAACTGATCTTGTATGTTAGGGCTGTACAATGCATCTACCATTTCAGATGTTATAATACCAACGGATTGCTAAAATATATTTTGCTATACAGATATATTATTACTATAGATTGCTATACAGATTTTTCGTGTAGAAGGACAAGATCATTAAGGAACAGATTAATGCATATTAGATTAATGCATACCAGATGTAGAAGTATAATGCAATATTACCGATTGTTGTGTAGGAAGTGCATATTCGTCTGTAGCTGTAACATTATCGTCATCCGCAACGATGTTCGGAACATTGCGACGTTTTGATAATTGCTGCTCCCGTTTCTGTTTCCTTAATTGAACTCCCTCTTCCTCCCTACGTCTTCGCAGTTCTTGCGAATCCAATCCTACATTTTTATAACGATGCTTGTGTGTGGGTCCAGTTGACATCTATATACCCAATATAACTCAACGTAAATTATATATTGATTATAGAATATCCTTTATCAAGCTTAAATATATTATAAATTGGAATTTTCTGAAGAATATTTGTGTCTGTGTTATAAGATCAAAATTTTACTTGCTTATTTATTTATATATATATATATATATATATATATATAGACACACACACACACACACATATATATATATATATATATATATATATATATATATATATAATTGCATGTAGGTAAATTCAGTTGCACAACGGTATATATTTTTTAATGACGTTAGAAATAAATTACATGGTCAGAATTGTGAGCCACTATTCACGAACTCTTGCATAGTAATTAATTATAATAAAAGTCAAAATAACAGTACACAAGATATAATGATATAAGATGACGGAAAGAGAGAGAGGATTCAAAGAAAAAATATAAAATAAAAATACTAATGTCTGGACATGTACCTGACTTTGAGACATTCTTTTTTTGATTTTTAAGTACAAATATTTAAATATTTAACATAGAATAAATATAGATATATATTTTTTATTAAAAATTTAGATATTCATATTTAAAAACCAAAACAACAAGAACATTCAGAGTTACATGTCTAGACATTGGTACTTTTACCTTAAGTATCTTTATTATATTATTAACTATCAAATAAGTTTACAATAAAGGATCGATATTTACACTATGTACTGTCACATTATGCAGCTCCTGTTAGAATAGATTACTACACAAACACATGAGCAGTAAGTTGCAATCATGTTAATATACTTCAGACGTCACAAGAAAAAATATGTGCACATCCATGTATATGTATCTGCATGTTACATATATTTTTTCCTATATACAGATATCCACAGAAATTATAACACCTTCAACTCTTCCCACACAAGTATACTTTGAAGAAATTAAAAATATAAGATTTGTCATATTCAAAAGAATTATACAAGCTATCATCTCGGTTTTTACCGTATTATCTTGGGAAAAAAAATAAAAACGAAGAAAGCGAAACCACCTTGCCACAAAATTTCGTACCTTTCTCAATATCACTTGAACTATATATGTTAACGATATACGCGAATTGTTTTAGCAAAACAGCAAGCCGAACTTCGTATTCTCTTCCTCGTTTAAAAATATATCTTCAAACACGAGAGATCACACGCGCGTACGAGTACACACACATTCATACGTATCGTACGCGTACAGATGCATTAGCGCATCCATCATCTAATATGTGCACAAGAATACAAAGGCGAGTAACGAAGAGAGGACGGTGATCCAAACGAAACCTGTTTCATTCTCTCTTTCGGGACAAAGAGAGAAAGAGACAGAAAGCAAGAAAGAGAGAAACATAGACAGATAGGGGAGAAAGAGAGACAGGGAGAACGAGAGGTAGATAGATAGAAAGAGGAAGGGAGAAGAGAGAGAAAAATTTTCGCCTGGCGATATTGAATGCTTGACCGAATGCCATCGCCGCGATCGTGAATCGTCATAAGATCATTTGACAGTGGATTCCACGTGAGGGTTAGGAGTCGATCGACTCGCTCGGGGCGGAGATGCTTCTCCCGGGGAATTAGTGGCTTCGCTTTCTCGGCGCGCCCGAGTGCGGTACCGACGATTGCGTCAATGCCGCCGCCGTCGCTGCCGCCGCTGCTGTGGCTCGACATACGAGCTAGCTGCGGCGAATTTTTCGCGACACGACGTCGCTGGGACATTTTGGCACGCACACGGCCGCGGACTGACATTGGTCTGGAATCCTCTCGAACCTTCGTACACGTCAATGCGCACGCCGCGACGAGTTCCCGGGCGCGGCGGCTCGCCGCGTACCGCCGTAATTATTCGCTTCGCACGCTCTTCTTCTGGTACTTACGGCTGTGAAACGGATTTCGGAGCCAACGGGTCAGACGTAAAAGATCATAAGAGTAACGCAGATCCAGGCGCCGCCGCGAGTCTCTTCCCCACTGCGAACTACGAACGACAGTCCGTCAGAAAGCCTTGATCCGCACACCCGCGACGCGCAATGAATCACGGGTTCCTGGCCACGGCACGCACTGATTGGTCAGAGCAGTCGATCGCGTCCCGCCGCTCTGTCCCTCGCTCGCTCTCTCTCACTCGCACTTTCTCCTTGGTGAGAAATTTGCGAACGCAACGATGGGGTTGAGAGGCCAATGCGTTATATGCGATTTCTTCGTCGCGGTAAGAAAAACGATATCAAGCGATCCTCGCAAAGTTTGCGATTTGCACACGAATGTAAACGAGAATTCCTATTGCGTCAAAGTATTGCGCAATACGCTTAAAATTCACTTCTCGGCGCTACGTTAGATCCGTGTCGCGGAGTGTACTGCAACGCGGTGGTGAATTATGAATTGAAGATGATCACTTGGCCAATCGGGGAACTGAGCGAGCCGCGATCGAAAACACTCGGTTGGTCAACTTTTAAGGCTGAATTCCCACTTAGCGCGTCACGCATCGCGTCGTCCGTCGCGTCACGAGTTAACCAATCCATATATGTAACACTAATATATGGCGCGTAGAGCTTTCAGCGATACCGCAACACTACGGTGCAGACAATGCTCGTCTGTCTTTTTCTGTATCAATATCAATTGAGCCCATATTCTGAATCCTCTTTTATCGATAAAAGTACCTTAAATGTAGTTTCTCAGCCAATCAGGTGGCTTCTAAGCCTCTTTTAGAGGCACTTTTACAGATAAAAGAAGATTCAGAATATGGGCCTTGGTGTTTACGACAAGCGGATTGGATTTTTAAACGGATTGTGCAGTGGTACCCAACCGACGGTATAGAAAATTCCCTAGATTAATTCGATTCTCTTGTGCTGTCTCTGATAGGTAATCGGATCGGATTGAAGTCTTGACATATTAGATAGGAGCAAACAGAGTGCGTGACAGAAAATAAAAGTAAGAAAAACAAGGTACGTACTTCTTGATTATTCTAAAGGTTAATATGTTTTATTTTCGTTTACACATATATCCTGGTTATCACATAAATTGAAATATGTTTTTCTGTCATAATACTAACGTAAAAGTCTATTTAATGGTCTATAACCTCTAAATATTTTAATGTATACATTTAAACATGTATGTAACTGATAAATAATGCAGGAACAGATATATATTTCCGTTTCACAATTTCTTTATTTAAATTGCGTATGATATATATTTTTTCTTAATATATTAACAATATATGTGTATGTGTAAATATATATATACATACACATAATTTGTAATTATGAATGTTTTTATATAAAAGTCTATATTTTTACTGAGTACAATCATGGACATATTTCTTATATGGAATACACTTTTTAACAATGAAGACGATGAACTGGCAAATACATCGTGTCAGAAAAGCACATACCAGAATAAATAATTATTTCGAACATGTTCAATTTTATTCTCTAATTTATATTATATACAGGGTGTTTCCTCTAACTCGACCATTTAAAATATCTCCGTTGTTTTTGATGATACGGGAAAATACTACAGGGAAAACTTGTTTGATTGGAAGGGACACATATTATGACGAGCAAACAATTTTTCTCGAGGTCATAGTTTTTGAGATTTCGAGGTCATTGCGATTTTTTTAAATGAAATAGCCCATATATTATTACATATTCTTATAGCTTATCTCGAGAGCTTTCCAAAACATTATAATAAAATATTTTTTCGTTAAGAACTTTTCGAGTAATAACACTTGAAATTTCCAGCACTTTGACATAGAATACAAAATATCTCGTAAAATATTCATCTTTCGGTTATCTTGCCTTATTATAGATTTCATTATTCCCACATTCTGCTTGTGATATTTATTTCTTTCTGCAAAACACAAATATGACAGATATTAAATTTCCTACATATATAACAATTAATATTATATTACAAACATAATTTATATATTTTTTTGTAATGAAATCTATTACTTATCTTTATATTTGCGTGTGATCCATGGTGCTCGGTTACGGCGAGTCCTGCGGAACACTTCTCACGCGAACATTGTGTTTACTTTTATGACACTACGTATATGTCATTTCTCTCCTATCGTAGTTAGTCACTGCGCAGGCGTGCAAACATGTAAGTATCAAAAACATATTACTTAAAGCCCATTCTACAATTGCGTGAACGTGGATGTAAGTGGTTGTAAATGATTATGACAACCAATCAAAGTAAAGCAATCAGTGAATAAAACATTCGGATTGGTTGACTTTTACGTTCACGACTACGCTCACGCAATTGTAGAATGGGCTTAAAGTACACTGCACGCATTGTTCAATAATTGGACGCTTTTACTTTATTTGGAGCAATTTCTTTGTTGCAATCAAAATCGGAGTATAATTAATGTTTTGTTAATGTAACCGCAAATTATTATCATTGAAAGGAGCTGCAGAAGCTTATTTCCACTGTTGTTTAAATACTAGCCTGGATAAAAACATGAGTGACTCTACAGAAAATTGTTTTTGCATGCAAAAAACAACTTAAGGAATATAGAACTACCTAATACGCAATGTATTGTTGAAGTATTCTATATTGATTTAGTATTCTATATCGAAATAAATCTAATATTTTTTTTTTTTTCAAGAGCAGCTATTAAAAAGTACTTGTCGCAAACCTCCTGAAAACCCTTCTCCAACATCTCCTTTCACATTACAGTAATTTCCTTGCTAACAAGAAAAAAATGCAGGGATGTTCGAGCGAGTGAAACAGTCGTCGGGACATCGCGTATTGCTCACGTATAGACAAGACAGTGTGAGTCAAGCGTTTTCTTAGGCCGGTATTCATAGTTCGATTTTATATTTAAGGTCATCTTAAGTACTGTCTTAAGATGTCATGAACCAATCACAGAGCCGTATTCGCATCTTAAGACATTACTTAAGACGGTCTCGAAAGATTCGACTATGAATACCGGTCTTAGTGTGTGTCACACATATTTTAGGACGGCATTTCTGTCCATGACATCTTATAATGCTATCTTTCTCGCTTTTACGTCTGCGATAGAGGATGGAAGATCGTCGCCACTCCCACCACTATTCCCTCTCCAAGCGTTCGATGAACGCTTAAGGCCTTCACACACACTTTCCGTAACAGTAACCGTAAGGGCTATCGCACACAAATTAACATAACTGCATATGCATAGCATAAGATCGTATGGATCAATGAGCATCGAATATTAAGCATCGAACCAATATGGCGATTTAATACTCGATGCTCATTAGTACATACGGTCTTATGCTATGCATATGCAGTTATGTCAATTTGTGTGCGATAGCCCTAAGACGTAACGTAAGAATTGACCAATTATGATGGAGTATTCACAAAAATGGCGACTTTATGTTTCGACGATTTTCAACGTGATTGGTCAATTCTTACGTTACGTCTTACGGTTACTGTTACAGAAAGTGTGTGTGAAGGCCTTTACCGCTAGCCGCTTCCGCCACTGCAGCACTCCGTGCTGCTCATGGTTCATCCACAAGCAGCAGTGGTGAATAATGGCTGCGTTCAGAAAACATAGCTGATCAGTGAGCGGTTAGTGATTATTGGTCCTTACTGTTAGATCCCTAACTTTAGACCAATTACATTGATTAATTACTCAACCGTTGTGTAACCGCTGTATCTCCTGAAAGCACCTAATGTGTCATCATGTGTGAGTCATACGAATATACGGACGGCATTAACGCCGGTGCGTGTACATATAAGAGTGTTTCAAGACTGAAGGTCAATACTTCAGGAAACCATTCTTTACATAATTCTGAATTAAAAAGTTCATATGAATATGTGTTTTATTCGCAATGGTTGCCGAGAAAAATCAATTTAATATATTTTGACCAACGTAACGCGTGAATCATGTTTTCTGATTCCGAGGCGAATGATCTTCTACTTACTGTACGTACAACTGCTGGACGCTGCGCGACAAATAAAGGAAAGTTACGTACAGCTGCAATCAGCTACACGCGCGGTTCATACTCGTGCGTTACGCTGTATACAAGCAGATGGTGGCATCATTGAAAACACCCTTTAAACTAAGGTAAGTAATAATAATTTAAGGCACACAGAAAAACTTAAGGCTCCTGGGGAGTCGCATCATCTAACTCTTTTTAATGATGTCAGAAGCGAGAAAACGCATGCTAAAAATTCCTGCAAAATACGTCGAGATAAACAGATATATCCACAAAACGACATTTGCGATCGATTAAGTACATCTCTAAAATACTCCGTACACTTTCCTTTTGTTCTAAAAATCAATAGATAATCGGAAAATTAATATGACAAGATAATGAGGAAATTAGGTTAGAAAAGACGATTGCACGTCACATTTATTTTATAATTATCTGTTGATTGTTAGAACAAAAGGAAAGTGTACGGAGTATTTTAGAGGTGTACTTAATCGATCGCAAATGTCGTTTTGTGGATATATCTGTTTATCTCGACGTATTTTGCAGGAATTTTTAACATGCGTTTTCTCGCTTCTGACGTCATTAAAAAGAGATGGATGATGCGACTCCCCAGGAGCCTTAAGCAGTAAGACGTAAGCAGTAAGCAAATTGACCAATCACAGTCGTTGATTCTTGGACCGTAAAGGCCTTCACACACACACTTTCCGTAACAGTAACCGTAAGACGTAACGTAAGAATTGACCAATTACGATGGAGTATTCACAAAAATGGCGACCTTATGTTTCGACGATTCTCAACGTGATTGGTCAATTCTTACGTTACGTCTTACGGTTACTGTTACGGAAAGTGTGTGTGAAGGCCTTAAGAAGAATCAATGACTGATTGATCAATTTGCTTACTGCTTACGTTTTACTGCTTAAGTTTTTCTATGTGCCACCAGCTTAAGTTATCCAAGAAGTATTACAAGCATGGATGTGGAATGAAACATCTTATTTTCTATTAATATCCCCAATAATGTTTTAAAAACTGAACTTCTCAGATAGAGTTTAAAGTTATTATAAGTTTATAATCGTTCGAAATAGGACTTATGTTTATATGAATATGTTTATATGTTTATATGAACTTTTTAATTCAGAATGATATAAAGAATAATTTTCTGACCTTCAGAAAGAATAGTATTGACCTTCAGTCCTGAATCACCCTGTATTGTACTCTTATATAAATTATATAAATTGTAGACCATTATAGACACATTCTATATTTATTTTTCTTATTAATTATCAATTATTCAGTTTCTTTAATAAATCTGTTTACATTTTGTCGCCACGCTTGCGCATTGCGATCACAGAACATTTCCCCACTTTCTTCTACCCTTATAGAAATATCATACTAAGAATCATTGATAATTACTTATTATCCAGTATTTTTAATACTGCAAATAAGTAATTATCAATGATTCTTAGTATGATATTTCTATAAGGGTATAGAGTTAATAACCGTTTATCTTTTATCCTTCAATGTTTGGTTTACTCTCGCTTATAGGAAAATTTCTCCGTTGTCCATATAGTAGTATTACATATATGATATAGAAGTACAACGGGCATGAATCAGGCGCATTTTATCGTTACCACCGAACGTAATAAAGGCGCATTTTGTTAGATGGCGTCTCGAAAATGCGCTTAGCTCTCACAGACTTCCATACACTAACTAGACTGCTGACTCTCTGATGGCTTTCGCAGCCAGCGAAATGCGACGCGACATGCGATATGCGATGCGCGATATGCAATGAGCGTACAGCTTTTCCGGAGTACCAATACGCTCATTGGATATCGCTCGTCGCATATCGTGTGTCGCGTCGCGCATCGCACTGGTCTGCGAGAGCCATGAGAAAACTGAGGCAAGTTGAGGGAATATAGGGCGTCATATTTAGTGACTCTTACACATACATAAAGAACACTGACAGTCACTGCTAGTGTTAATATTAGATTTTATAGGGAGCGGTGCACTTGGACACGGTGCATTTGGACACAGCCAATCACAGCACCGTATGATTAGAGACATCTGTAGGGTCCCTTGGAACAGCGACTTGTGATTGGACTGTGTCCAATTGCCCCGTGTCCAACTGATATACACCCGATTTTATAACGCATTATTAAGGCTGCGTTCAGTGAGGCGCTATTTAGCGCTGTGAGCGTTCTCTGTCCCTATTCAATTTTCAGGAACAAACAAGGACAGAGCACATTCATAGCATTTCCCCGAACGCAGGCTATAACGAAGCGTTAAGCACTTGGAAATACTTTTCCTGAGTAGAGTAGTCGTGAATTGATCACGTGGTGTGCACACATGGATAGTACACATATATTAGCAGGGTCACTCAATATGGCGCCTATCGTCACCACCAACCCATCGCCCAGAGTCTAATTAATCAGCAGTCTAATTAGTATATAGAAGTCTGTGTTAGCTCTGGTCACTAAAATCAGGCTGGCACAGATGATCTTGAAATAAGATTCGACTATAATGAATTCCGGCCTATAGGTCGATGCCTACGTCTATTTTCTCGGGCGCTGGCGGCAAAATTTCTATTGGTTAGACAATTTCCCGAAAAGTAGAGGGGATAATGTTGGTACCAAGAAAAATCTCTACACGATATAATTTAAAGGTCTGTTTTTTATAACTGCACTGCTGAACTGATGCAATAAATTGAAGTGAGACAAGTATATGTTTTCTCACTGTAACTTTTTGCACTAGTTCAGCAGTGCAGTTACAAAAAACAGATCTTTAAATTATATCATGTAATGACTCTCGCAGACCAGCGCGATTTGCGACACAGCACGCGATATGCGATGCGCGATATCCAATGAGCGTACAGCTTTTCCGGAATACCAATACACTCATTGGATATCGCTCGTCGCATATCGTGTGTCGCGTCGCGTCGCGCATCGCACTGGCTGCGAGAGCCATAAAGATTTTTCTTGGTACCAACATTATCCCGTCCACTTTTCGGAAAATTATCGCCTAACCGTTTCTATCTGATGCGTGTCCATTCTACGCCCATTTTCTAGTAGTCGCGCTAAGCGCATAATTGCGTGATTGAGAATACCGACCATCGTGCACGGATTTATATTTCATTCAGCATTCACATGATCTTTTCTCTTTACACACTTTGTCATAAATTTATTTGGTTTCATAGATTTATTCAACTCTTTGGTATTTGTATGTATATATTCATTCTACAAATATCATAAGTAATCGCAAATATTTTTCACATTGTCTAATTGTAATATTTTTTATGCAACTAAAGAATGTGGAAACATATCAGAAGCAGATCCTATTATATAAATGTCAACTGGAAAGAAGTGTATCACAATAGTCCCATTATAGCATAAATGCTAAATCCATTACAACATAATCATTAGACCCAAGGGATTGTAACGTTATACTGATAGTAAAAAGCATTGATAAGAAAAAAAAACAAAAGAAAACATTAAAATAGCATGCCTTAGACTTTGATACGATCTGCCAGAGAGCAAGACAGACCAGTGTTATCTGGCTCCACATTGAGTTCCTTTACAATGCCATCTTCAACAATCATGGAGTAACGTTTGCTGCGCTTGCCTCCTAAGACTTGCAGATCCATGCTGAGATTTATAGCATCTGTAAATTCTGCTTTAGGGTCGGCTAGCATTCGTATCTAATGATGAAAGTAGCTTTATTTTAGGAAACAATCAGTATAAATCTTAAGTGGAATATAAAAGACGGAAAATCTTAATTGCAATATAAAAGTCAATTAACACGAGTAATTTATTTATTCTCTGAATTTCTGTGTAGTTATTAATTTGGTATGTAAATAAACACATACTTTATTGGTTGCACCATGTTCTTTTCCCCAAGCTTCCATAACAAATGGATCATTAACACTGATGCAGAAAATCTCTGAAATTCCTTTGGATTTTAGATCAACTGCTTTTTCAATATAGCCAGGAAGATGAGTCTAGAAAAATTAAATTCTGTATAATCTTGATGCAAGCGTAAGTTCAGAAGAAACTCAGCATTGATATAATTTACAATTGGTATTTGTCTGAATCTTAATATCTTTCAAAGATCTAGTTCTCAATAACTATCAATTAATTATAAAAAAATAACATACTTTTGAACATCCTGGTGTAAATGCACCTGGTACGGCAAACACAATGATTTTTTTCCCAGCTGCTTCTTTTGCTAGGTTCACTTTGTTTGCTGGTGTGTTCTCAAAAAGATCTACACTGGGAAGCTTGTCTCCAACCTTGAGAAAATGATCTCGTTAATCTTTTGCTTTCAAAAAAAGGAAGTTACACATACTATCAATAATATAAGGCACATATTATTCATGTGTATTACATATATACATTGTACATATATACAATGAGAATATAATCCTTGCTCACAGCATTAGTTGGCAATTTTAACTGTGATTTATTATGACTACATCCTTTTTCATAATTTAGTTTAAGCTAGGGTAATGCAACTACACTTAAAATTAGTCTGGCAAGATTATACAACATTAGTTGTAATGCCAAGAGCTTGGCAATGCCAAGAGTCGGTTGCATTCTCCTCTTTGATAACCAATTATGAGAAAGAATATTTTATTGATATTTAGATCCGGTTTGTTTACTCAAGTTATAAAAAAAATTAAAAACAAATTTCACGAAGTAAGCTTAGCATCGAATAATTTTGAGTTAATAAACTTTGAAATAAATAGGCCGATGGAATACTCACGGCGATAACCATGTTTCGCGATGATACGTGAAAATCTCGTGTGAAATGCCGAAACGTCGATGCTCGCCTGTCGACAGAAACGATACGACTTACTAGTTGACTCATGTAGGGCCGTACGAAGACTTCTGTTTTGGACTGTTTTATTTCGTAGAGACACGATATTAAGGCGTAATTTGTTGCAAACACTCGATGGTGTGTTTAACATATGACATGTGACCAACCGGGACGTTATTGCATAATACTATTATCTATATGTTATCGTCAACTGATTATTCAATTTCTCAGTTCGTTTCTTTTTATTAAAGAATGATTATCTCTCTGTAAGTTTGAAGAATAATTTATTTTTTACGTCGACATATTTTTAGGTCTGTTCTTTTTAGTTGAACTATCTAAACTGGTACACACTGGTACAATAAGTTACAGTGAGACAAATATATTTTGTTTTTCATTTAATGTAATTTGTAATTCAATATATCTTAGCCATAAACGAGAGTAACATGATTTAATATCTCTAAAAAGTAGAGACTTCAAACTTTAAAATGCTTCTCGCGCCATTTCGTTATCGTTATTTTTTAAAAAAATTATAATCTGTTGAATTTGTCCTGTTTTAATAAAAGGGAAAAATGGCTAACCAATCTGAATCATACTACATAAGAAATGTAAAGACCATTCTACATTGCATAAGCGTGATCGTAAGTGGTTGTAAGTGACAAATAATCAGAATGAAGCAATCAATGAATAAAACACTCTGATTGACTTTTATATTCACGATCCGCTTATGCAATTGTAAAATAGTCTCAAGAAACGTCTAATCCATCATTGATTTTGTTTACGGCAGTTTAAAACCGATTTAGTAACTACCAACTTAGTGAACTCTTGAATCCGATTGGAGTATATTTCTAGATCTAAAAGAATATACCAATCGGATGCGAGAGTTTACTAAATACGGTAGTTACTAAATCGGTTTTAAGTTGCCGTGTAAACAAAGTCATTGATGCTCGTTTCTATCAATTTTGGTAAAAGCTGCTTTTCGAAATTCAGTCATTACTGAAAATCTATAATTCATATTACATATACTATAGAATTTCAGCACTGGCAGTCAATTTCGGGACGCAGCCTAAGTAAATGGTTATTCCAATGGAATTGATCAATTATATTTCTTGTTAGTCAGAATTGATAGATGCGATTAGTCAATTCCGTTGGAATAATCAGTCGGTTAAGTAAACCAAAGTTGATAGAAACGGGCACCAATTGTACGACCTTAAATCTTCGGCGTTGACGAGGTAATGCTAGATTATTGGTTTTACGAAGTTTTGCACATGCTAAAAAATTTCTATTTAACCTCTTGTCGGTAAAAATGTAAAACCAGTATAGATAATAACTGCAGAAATGCAGTTTCACAAAAGTATTATTCCATAGCACAAGTCACAGTGACATCACAATGGACTCACAATTTTTATTATGAATTCAATCAATAATTGGAGGATCGAGCTTCGCCCGCCGATTTGCAATTGCAATTTTGATACACTTTTTACACTTGATCCCAAGCAAGAGTGAAAAGTGTATCAGAATTGCATTTACACTCGTGAACTCATGATGTCATTTTTAAAACCTCTAAAGAATTAATGTGCACTAAGTGCACATGTGTGAAAGTGTAAAAAGTTCAATTAATGCGAATAAACTTATTGGATATTAGCTATTTTCAGACAGCTCACATCTTCAAAGGACGTCCTAAAAATATTCTAATGACATCCCTCCGTCCTGAAAACGTCTTCAGAATGTATTTTTGAAAATTTGTGTTGTTTGGAGTGCACTAGTGTGCAACGGGCATTAGGTGTAAAAGTGTGAAAAGTACAAGCAACTCGAACAAATCTAATAAGAACATTTTTATTCGGGGGGTTGAAATCAAGGACACTGCTTGAAGTATTCCCTTCCCAAACAGCACAAATCTCCTGAAATTTTGGATATCCAAAATCAGGATATCCTGAGGATGTCCTGAGGACGTCCGATGTCCTAAGGACATCCACAGAACGTCCATGGGATATCGTGTGCTGTTTGGATTGTGCTTTAATGTATTATGCTAAAGTGCTCACTCTACCTTGGTCCGTGTAGTGGCGATTCCTAGCGGAGATTTTAGAAAGTCGATATTACATACCTTTATCCAAGATTCAGACCAATATTTACCAACCGCTTAGACTCAAACCTTGGCATTGGACGTGAGGTCCAACTTCAAGAATGAATTTCACGAAAATTAAAACGAATTGAACGAGACTCTCGAACAAATATTTTTCATGCGCACAAGTACAATTTTACTATATTTAATAGCGTGATAATCTGTTAGCGCGCGCGCGTATTATCATTTTCGAAAATACATGTATCAATTTCCACGCAAAATGTAATAAAACGACATTGAAAAATATTTGATCAACGTTCGAGTGTTTTGTCCAATTTGTCTTAGTTTTTAAGAAATTATTTATTGAAGTTTGATCTTTTGCGGTAATGTTAGAGTTTGAGTCTTGGCTAAACAGTCGATAAATGTTGGTTGAAAAGGGTTTGAATCTTGGGTATAAGTATGCAACATCGACTCTTAACCCAGCAGCACAAATCTCCTCGAGATGTCCTGAGAATGTCCTGAGGACGTCTCGATGTCCTAAGGACATCCACAAAACGATATCCATGGGATATCGTTTGCTGTTTGGGAAGTTTGATATACAATGTGCTTTTTTGCTTTGTTTCTTTTTATTTATCTCTTTCTGATTTAAATCTTGATCTTGAAAGAAGAAAATAAAGAATAAGAAACAGGAAGCAAAGAGCATATTGTAGATCAGGCTTTAAAGCCGATTGTTTCTCTCTTGGTAAGCTACCTGATAATTAAATCATATATTTATCTTCGTTTTTTCTTCAAATTAAATACAAATAGACATATGACTATTTTACTATTACGTAGACACTATTTAACTATTATGTAGCTTACCAAGAAGTTGGAACAATTGGTCCTTGGTTCTAAAATCTCCACTACGAGCTACTACTATGCTTATCAACGATTTGAGATCGTGGTATAATTCAAATCAGACGTTTATTCTATTTTTTAAGTAAGTTAACGAAGGAGGGTCGCAAAAGCTTATTCTATTTCTGAAGTAAGTTAACTTAAAAACTCAACTACGTTTTTCCCACAAAATGAAACATTAATAAAACTCAATAGGCTTCGACAAAAATAACGATAATGGAATGGTTTAATAAGTATTTTAAAGCTTAAAGTCTCTATTTTTTAGAAATATTAAATTTATAACGCTATTGTCGTTTACTATTAAGATATACTGAGTTAAATAAAAAATAGCGCTTGTTCGTTATTTAACTTAATATTCTAGTTAAATTTTTACGTCGAAAATTAATTCTATTTAATTGTATTTATCGACAAGTTTAACCTTAAAAAAAGGTAAAAAAGATGCAATTAGTAAAAAATAAAAATTGTCTTTTAATTAATTTTAGGTGCCCATAAAGCTAAGATCTTTTTGTTTTAAATATATACACATGTAGACTACTTATTGTTAACGAAAAATAAAAAATCAAAATTTTGTGAGTTGGATAATTCTTATATAACTATGGCCGGTTAAAATAATAAGACATCTTATTATAAATGAATGAAATTATGTATTTCTTTATAAATGCTTTTTCTTTTTAAAAAAATATTGATTGCTTCATTATTCTTTTGTTATTCGATAATATGGAATCATCAATGCTTAACAAAGTTGCTCATTTTTAATCCGACTTATAATTTTCATTTTATAATAAACAAAATTTTTTTAGTCGCGTGAATATAAACCATAAACGTACAATTCTATTTTTAATCGCGTGAATATAAGCCACAAACGTACGATTCTAATGCCACGTGCTTTTTTATGTGCGCTCACACACAATGTGAGAAAATCATTTTAAACCCGATCATAGCATTCCCGAAAATTGACGGGTTACTTTTAACGTGCTCTGCCCGTCCGATCTCTTTCGCCCCCTCGCGTCTTACTCTTCTATCCATCTCGAAAGAAGGCTACAGAAATCGGCGACGCAAAGGAAGGGTAATAGGATATGCGACGGTGCCACAGGGTTGAAGAATCGTGGAGCGGAATTACCTCGCGGATTACGCCGGGCCGAAACTTGAATACGAATACGACACTACTCGATGGAGGAGGCGTCCGTATCCGGGTTATTAAAAGCGGCTTCTCTGAACCCTCCCGTGCGCGCGATCCCGGCACAATGCGTTGTAATGAAAATAATATGCTCTATTTACAAATTAAAATATCCGATTTCAAAATATTCCGCGCGCTGTCCCGTCAATATTGGCTCGCCAATTCAGCTTTAGCGCTCGCTCGCTTCCCGTTATCCTTCGCTACGTACAACGTGCTCATACATATTTTAATCCTTTTTTTTTCTAAACGTGGAGCGAATTTAGAATAAAACATGTTCGGGAGAGAATATATAGTGTTTCCATTTTGAAGTTAAGCAGACCGTATTTTTGACGTGTCGCACACATCGTCGAGCAGGCAACTTAAGAGGAGATTTAGATTGAAAAATGTACTTATTTTTCCACCATTTTTTATGACAAACTGAATAAATATGCTAAAGTGTTATTTTGACGTGTATTTATACAACATATAAAGAGAAGAAAAATATAATTTTGATGATTAAATACTCGATATAAGTGTATGATACATGCAGTTAAAATATATTTCGTTTTTCTTTTCAAGATCGTCATTTTGCAGTAATATCTTGACTCTCGGTGATTTAATTAAGCTGAATTTTAGGTAGAAAATTTCCGTAAGCTCGTCGTTATCGTGTGAATCACTATAATAAAAATTGAGTAAAAGTTAACAAAATTGCAAATATTTTTATAGAATATTATTAAATTTTCAGTTCTTTTATAGTAAAAAAATTAATATTTCAAAATTAAATATTTTCACGAGTTTGTCAGTGGTTCACACGATAATGACAAGCTTACGGAAATTTTCTACCTAAAATTCAGCTTAACTGAACCACCGAAAGTCAAGATATTACTGCAAAAATGGCGACTTTGATAAGAAAAACGAAATATATTTTAACTGTATGTACCATACATTTATGTTGAGTATTTGATCATCAAAATTATATTTTTTTCTCTTTATATATTGTATAAATACACGTCAAAATAACATTTTTGCATATCTATTCAGTTTGTTATAAAAAATTATGAAAAAACAAGCACGATTTTCAGGCTATCTGATTCTCCAGTCCCCTTAAACAGAAATTTTTTTGCGAAGATTGCATTCTAAAACGTACTGGGAAGTATAGAATTTAACTAAAAAACGAGCAAAGATCAAATTTATGTGACATTTTTATAACGTGTTCATCTGATTTGAGGAAAATATTGT